AAAGCTAATTTTCAAGTTATGCGATTCATAAAACTACTAACATAAAGTCAAAAATATAATTCCAAAATTATTACGACGCCGCTGTATCAAGTGACAAACAAGTCGGGCAATGAAGCTAATATATAGGTTCGCAATTGTGTCTTTGTTTCACCAATTATTTACATATCGATCAGCTTATCTTAGCCTGCCTAGACATGCGTATCCCTATATTTGCTTATCATATAAATGCATTGCTGCGGACGCAGTTCATAACTAATTTGATACACACGCAAAGATCCAAACAACAAAGCACTGGCGGTTCTTCTATAGGGTCATTTGGTCAATGACCTCCCACATACAAATAAAAAAATAGAGCTATTCATTTTCTAAAGTTTAATAATATGTAATATATATATTTTTAATATTCTTAAGAAATATATTAAAGTTTCTAGTTCATTCTATGCACAATACTATTCAAATATCTAGATCGCAGGAATTCATATTCATTACATTATTCATTTATAGAATTTAAAAATCTTGGGTCAATCCACAACTTGTCCTTAAAGCTAGCTACACCAAATTTACAACGAATTAAAGTGAAATAGACTTATGCGCTAATCATCAGAAAGCAAAAGAGACAGAAAACAATGGCGGAGACACATTTTACGTAAACGATAACGCACGAAGTTCAGTAGAGCAGTCTTAATGCTGACTAGGTACGCGTTGGTCGGCAAATTCTGTCGCGTTGTTTTTAATGTTTTAATTTGTGAACATTTTATTAGTAAATCTCTACTTGTCGTGAAATTAAGTAAAACAGTGTTTTTGGTGTTTACTATTAAATATGAATGTTGTACAAAACATATTAAAACTGAAAGATGTACATAATAAAGTACAAGTAGTTTTTGTGTTTAGATACGTTTTAGACGGTGTTGTATGTGAAAGATTTTGGAAATTTATTCAGCCTCAAGAACGACATTGCAGCATTTGACAGCTGTAATTTTAAAAGAGTTAGAATGTCTGAAAATTAATGAAAGTCCTGAAAAATGTAATGAGTGGTGCTTTTGGAGGTGTACAAGCCAAAATTAAAAAAGTTATCCTTCAGCAAATTTTATGCATTGTTACGCTCATCAACTAAATTTAATTTTACAAGAAGCATCAAGTCAGGATAAAAGCATAAAAATTTTATTTGCTAATTTACATAGCTTTTCTTCATTTTTAGGAAAATCGCCAAAAAGAACAGCCGCGTTAGATAATGTTGTTAAGGTGAGATTACCTAAAGCGGTTCCAACACAATGGAATTTTAATACAAAGTGCATAGAGACGGTTTATATCTATCGAACAGAATTATTAGATTATTTAGAAAAAATCATTGATAATAAATCAGAAAACAATACTCTAAACCAATCTGTTGGTTTAAAAAACTACTTACAAAATGAACATTTTCTTTACTGGTTAATTTTTTTTTCATTTAGTTATGCCTCATTGTGATATATTGTTCAATCAATTACAAAAATATAATATCGATGTCATAACAGTAAATAAGTGTATTGGCGTTTTAACAGTGAAATTGAAGATATCAGAAATAAAATTTTGAATAACTATTTGGAGGAGACATCCATGCAGTCTGCCCAGAGATGTAAAACGGAAGAATCAAAAAGGAGAATTTTATTAGAAGTTTGTGATATAATTACATCTGAGATCAAAAACAGGTTTGGCTTCAGTAATCATTTAGCAGTGTCTCAGTTATTTCACACAGATCGATTTAAAGATTATAAAAAAGCTGTCCTCAAGACATGTTTAAATTAGTTAAAACGGAGTATCCAGTCATAAATCATTTGAAACTTAAAACTGAATTAGAAGTATTATATAGCCGAGAAGATTTTTTCCAATAGTGAAGGTGTAGTTGCTTTGTTGCAGCTTTTTATTAACAATGATTTGTGCAATACTTTTTTCTGAAAGTGTCAAACTGTTAAAAATATTGTGTACTCTCCCTATGACTACCGTCGAAAGTGAACGTTGTTTTTTCACCTTATATATAATAAAGACATTTTTAAGAAATACCATTAGTAAGGAAAGGTTATCTTCTTTAGCTATGCTTACCATAGAAAGGACATTAATAAAGAAGATAAAAGACTTTAATGAAAAAGTAATTGACCACTTTACATCTCAAAAAGACCGGAGGATCGAGTTGGAATTTAAATCACTTTAAAAGGTAGGTAATACAGTAAACTTTTCTAATTGACCTCCCCATCTCTTGACCCACAAACCACAACAAAGTATATTTTTAGGGAAATGTGATTTAATGTGAAATATCGGACGTACTAATATGAAATATATATCACTGTACATTGTCCGAGAGCATGCGTTGACCAGTGACCACGGCACTGTCAATGTCGGTGGAAATTGTTGTATGTCCACATTTTTATAAGTGTAATCCCTTTGTAGACCTCTTCGGTTTTGGATTTTGGAGGTTCTCTAATGTCTGTGGTATTTAATCAGTTCAGTGGTGTGGTGCATAGTGGCGCGTCTTTGCACCCAAATTGCCCACGTTCAAATCCAGGTCGATGAGGTATAGCGGATAAGCCGACTTATTCGCGTCAGCATTTTTGGAATGATACACTGTAGATTCGGTGTATTTGCGACGTGAGCACATTAAAGATCATTACCACAAGTGGAGGATTAGCAAACTTTCCAGTTTAGGGGTTCCAGTGTTTATACAGGTATTGATGATTAATCGCGTTGGATTGTTTAATGTGACGATACTAACACTGACGTAGTTGCCGAACAAGAAACACTTGATATTGTATATGACGCTGGTTTTGCCAGACAAGTGGCATCATATGAATATGTTTTAAAATGTTTTATTCATCTCTAGATGATGGTAACTTGTTATCCACAAACACCTTAGTTGGCGGAAAGCTTTATAATACCCATTGTTTTGGTGTTTGGGGAAACTATTACAATGCTGAAGCACTAATTCATGATGTGGTGGTTGCCTTCTACTTCATTTAGTGGATCTGTGCTTCGTTAGTGGGGAGTGTCGCGAGTGCCATGCTCTCCATTGACTTTTTATAGCTTAAAGTTCAGTAAGTGTTAAACAGTCTAAGGCACTCCTGTCTTAAGTAGGCTAAGACTGCTGAATCTTAGCTTGCCTTAATTAATTTGTTAATGCTAATTATTGTAATGGAACCAGTATAGCAATAGTTGAATTTTACATTCTTAATTATTATTTTTATACTGCTGTTGAACGCAAATTTAGCTCAGTGCGTGAGTATATTTATGTTTTCTTATCTTCCAGTGTTTTAATCACTGAAAAGCAATATAGTTAGTAGTTATATGAAACCTATAAGGGAAACCTTGCGGCAATAAGCATTGAATATTATTGTTTTGCTCTATTTTCAGTATTTATAAATACTTTCAACAACAATATACACATTACAAATATAGAAATGTTGTAAAAAAATGCAAAGAAATTAAAATCATACTTTTTTTGTGATAACATTCTGTTAGGTTCATGTTCGCTGGCAACAGAGTTATTCTCATCTTTATTCTCGATCTCGTTGAAATTTTCGAGTGCATTGTCACTCCAATCCTCATATAAAGCCGTGTTTTTGGAGAATCACGCACCCATGGGTGAGCGACACGCACAGTACAATAATGCGAAGTCGCAGCAGAAGAACGAGTGAATTTTATATGTGTACGTTTTGTGCTGTTATGACATTCATCTCGGGAACGAACGTGACCACTGATTCACGCATTATAGAAACATGCCGTTTTCACTAACCACCCAAGTGTTATTGCGCTATGCATATCGCGCATCGACAGATTCATGATTCTTAGAAAATATGGCTTTAAAGTTTCCAAAGCTTTGCCATCGTAAGGCGGCACTTATTTAGGCCCATTTTTATTATTCAAAGAATGATGACTTTAGTTTGAATAAAGAAATGAATAATCATTTTGATAAATTGCCACAGAGATAGTTATTCCACCAACAACACTGTGGGGTATTGTATGACACAATCGAAAAGCAGAAAGACATAAAAGAAAGACATAAAACTCAAAAAACACAACCTGCCGCATATATGATTATAATTACTGAAAATACCGAGACGCTGAACGATACGAGAAAATATCTACGAAAATGTAAATTGCTGGGTCACGAGTGTGGTTCTACGGTTAAATTTGACTCGAAATTTTGTGAAAAATTTAGGCATTGTTCAACTTCCCCGAAAATCACATATACACACAATAATTAATAATCATCTATCCAAGAATCTCATTTTTAAAACCTCATATATATTTTTTTAAATTCAGTTGTCGATTGTTATTTTAACCAGTTATGTTGAAAATAAATATTATATAAATTGTTCAATGTCATTAAACAGAACACTAGGTATAGTGGCCAAGTGAATGGAGCCAGTATTAGATTAACATCTAGAAGTATTTCATCTAAAACACTGTTCATTTTTGATTATTCTGTCGACCTACAATCTGGACACATTTGTATCCACACGTACATTATTTTTAATAAACTATATTTTAATAATATCAGCTAAACATGACCCTTAATAGCGTCTACCAAAATGGGGAATAGTTATTACGTAGCAATTACTATTCCGGCACCTTCCCTGTTATATGTTGATAACTAGGTTGTTACGTAAACGGAACGTAACCAAGTAGGTTACACGGCAATGGTAAATGAGTCACGACGTAAATTTCTTTGTGCACTCAGTAATGTCGAAACGGGCTGAAAATCCCAATGAAATGCACATCGAATGTAATACATAAAAATACTGCAGGATGTATTATTTTAGGACAATTCTGTCTGCCATGGAAGAATTTGGAGTATATTCAGCTACAGTAACAATCAAGAAATTCCATAACTGTCGCAAGCGGGGACGTTGTATATTCTGTCCATGCAAATTGTATAAAAATACAGCATCAGTTGTAACATTTGTAATAGACGGATTTGCAGGAATCACACTAATAAACAGGGTTTGTCGATGTCGCTGAAACATGGGGCCTTGGTAGCCAAATGGGTAAAGCACTTATAGCAATTTACTCGGAATCGAAGGTCGATGGTTCGATTTCATCCTAGAGCAAGTTAGAAATTTTATTTGCAATTTGTTTCAGATGGGAGAGGGAATTGTCGATGGCCTAGATGTGGTTTGAACTCCACAATAAACTATAGGGTTTCGCCTCTCTTTACCTAACAAAAAATCCTAGGATTTTCAGAGGGTTACTTTCGTGATTTGAGAGGCGGTTAAGAAAACATTTAACACATTTTTAACAGATGGGAAAAAATGCGTGCAGTTTTTAATTAGTATATGAGGTTAGTTTGGATTATTTTTTAATTTTATTGTATACCTATAATAACAAAACCGTTTTTCAAATTAATTTTTTTGGTTTTTTTTATTACTTAATATGACAATAGCGAAAAGCATTTCACTTGAGTTAGGTAATTCATATATAAAAGATCCTTTTTATAGGGACAACATGTACGCAGGTTATCAACGACGCGCGATGGGTGCAAAAAGCTTGTAGGTTGAAGGGATATGTTAATACAAAAACGAATTTAAAAAAAAATGTATACATAATACTGTTTTACTCCTACTGATCCAGCATACCTCCCTGTCAAATATTTGTATACAGTATATTGAAGTATTAGACATAGTACATTGGAAGGAGACTGAAAATTGCTACAGCAAAATTGCAACAACTAGATGAAAAATTAATTATCTGCTCTGTTAATGCTAATGCTGACGATCGACGGTTTGTCTGTCTCTGGTTTACATTGTAACGTTGCAATTTAGGAGACCCAAGTCTAATGATTCAGTACACATACTGTATATATACAAGGCACCATGTATAACAAAACTTTCTTTTTCAACAGTTTTTGTAAAATCTCGTTTATTTTTTCTTTTTCTTTTTTTGGGACTTACTATCACATGAATAATTCTTCGTTATCTAAAAAACATAGTTAGTTACCCAGTATTTTTTTTTTAATTAATATGTGTCAGGTTTCACGCTTGATATATAGATAAGGAAGAATTATTCATGTTATAGTACGTCCCAAAAATGAAAAAGAAAAATTTTAAAATGCCACGAATAACGTTCAGACAATATCCCATTTGATGATATGGTTGCTATCCAAATTTATATATTTTTGACTTTTCAAATTCCGCTTTCCTATCACAAGTCTTGTATTTAGTGAGCCTCACAATGAGAGGTATAGATATTTTACCGATATATTTCCACAACCACATAGAATACTATAATTTTTTCCATTTTTTGTACGTTTAGTATCGATACATATTATTGGTGTTAAATATCATCCACAAAGAAAACATGATGAAAGTTATATACTTCAATTTTTAACTTACAACACCAAACAAACTGACAAATTCAAGCATTTGTTAAGTTTTTAAAGGTTTTTTTTAGAAATTTAAGCATTCCATTACCAATAGATATTTCTAGCACATACATATATGATAAATTAAAAATCTATGATTTGTGGGGAATGCTGTATACGTAATATATTTTTTATATCCCGTTTAATAAATTTCATGTCTTGAATATGGAGAACAAAGGTTGTATCAAAAAGACATAAAAGTAACATGTGGCGCACTACTTTCCATCCTAATATCACACATAAAATACCGCATATTTATGTTAATATATTATGGAGATTTCCGACATATATTACAAGTGTCTGCTTAATACTCTCATATTAAATTTCTTTCTCTTAGAAGTATTATAATACGTTTTCGTAAATATCATGGTTGTTAAATTTTAAACTCTGAAAAATTAACCACAGAAAGAAAGGTAGTACATAAAGAATATAATGTTTAGAAGCTAAACATTGCCGACTTCAGGGCAATTTTACGTACGGGATTTATTTACGACTGAATTGAATTTAAAATTCCACATTGCATGCATTTATATGTTTTTTTGTTCGCCCATATCTGGATCATAAAAATCAATGCGTTCTTGAATAAATATTTGTTTTTAAAATTATTCCATTTATAAAGGTTCGCTTTAGGTTTTTAGGTACCTAGATTCGAGAGTAAATTGCAAAAGAACAAATCGTTACAGTGTACACATTTGGTGAGAGTAATTCTCTATTTAATTTTTTTATATTTGTGTTATAGCGGCGATTCTCATATAATTTTATTTATTTGTTTATTTATTTTTTTAGATACAACCTCCCAATCAATTATATGGTGATACTAGTACAATTGATAATACAATAACTACATATTAACACATAAAGAAAGAACTGTAATTACACAAAAAAAGGAATATTAACTAAGCTTAAATAGTGATTGACTTTAAATATCATACATCATACTTATAAAGTTAAAAAAGAAAAAATGGAAAATAATAATAATAGAGTGGAATGAAAAATAATATTAACTGAAAATTTTTTGTTAATTACTATTTACTAACTTTTACAAATCTTATCACAGATAAGTATAACATATATCTTTTTAAACAATTATTTCCCGGCTATTTGCCAAAACGCTGAAACTTGGATTACAAAAAAGATAATATGCACATTATGTCCAGTACTACTGACTCAATAATGTTATTTTTAATTTCAACTATTCTGTCCAGAAAAACCAAAAATAAATAAAACACAAGGTACTCACCAGTTGACACTCACTTTAAAAAACTTTAAATTATCTACCGACACGTGTTTCCGCCTGCATCGCTTCATCAGGGTAGCCAGCACATTTAAAGAATCCAAAGTAACCAAACTTGTAAACCTTAATGTAATAAACATTAGAGAACAGAATTCTTTAAATGTGCTGGCTACCCTGATGAAGTGATGCAGGCGGAAACACGTGTCGGTAGATAATTTAAAGTTTTTTAAAGTGAGTGTCAACTGGTGAGTACCTTGTGTTTTATTTATTTTTGGTTTTACTGGACAGAATAGTTGAAATTAAAAATAACATTATTGAGTCAGTAGTACTGAACATAATGTTGCATATTATCTTTTTTTGTAATCCAAGTTTCAGCGTTTTGGCAAATAGCCGGGAAAATAATTGTTTAAAAAGATATATGTTATACTTATCTGTGATAAAATTTGTAAAAATTAGTAAATAATAATTAACAAAAAATTTTCAGTTAATATTATTTTTCATTCCACTCTATATTTTAACTTTTATCAAGAAGAGGAACTTAATTTGTTTTTAAATTATTTCATTGACCCTAAGGGGTATTTCCACTATATAATTTCAATTATTCTGTTCTCTGAAGCCATTAATATTTATTACATTAAGGTTTACAAGTTTGGTTACTTTGGATTCTTTAAATGTGCTGGCTACCCTGATGAAGCGATGCAGGCGGAAACACGTGTCGGTAGATAATATAAAGTTTTTTAAAGTGAGTGTCAACTGGTGAGTACCTTGTGTTTTATTTATTTTTGGTTTTACTGGACAGAATAGTTGAAATTAAAAATAACATTATTGAGTCAGTAGTACTGAACATAATGTGCATATTATCTTTTTTGTAATCCAAGTTTTGGCAAATAGCCGGGAAAATAATTGTTTAAAAAGATATATGTTATACTTATCTGTGATAAGATTTGTAAAGGTTAGTAAATAATAATTAACAAAAATTTTCAGTTAATATTATTTTTCATTCCACTCTATATTTTAACTTTTATCAAGAAGAGGAACTTAATTTGTTTTTAAATTATAATAATAATAATATTGTTAGATGCATAAAAATACAACGTTAAACAGAAGTGAATCAGTGAATCTAATTTATGTGATGCTTTATGTTTTATCTACTTCTATATAAATTACATAAAAATTTAGTTGTTTGGAAATAAATTGACAATTAAACACATTGTAAATAATTTTATACAGAAACACTATTTTCCAAATTAGAGTTATCCAACCTTTTCAACATAATACTTTGTGAAAAATCAATTATAGGGTAATAACCATTCCCGATAAAACACAAATACTTAACAAAACGACTCTGAATGGTTTCAATGATGTTTATGTAAGTCATGGATCCCGAGAACCATACCAACCAGCCTTATTATAATTTTGATCATACAAATGAATAGTACAGCAACTTTTTAATGTACATTATTAGTAAATCATTTATAATTCCTAATTATATCCTAATATTCTAGTTTTGATCATATAAATTAATAGTACAACACATTTTTAATGTCTGTATTATTATATCCTTTACAATTCCTAATTATAAAACATATTTTTAACGCTGATGAGATAGTTTCATTTATGTGATCGTTGAGACTAGGCTTCTATTGAAAATAATATCGAGATCTTTAATTATTGCATTAGGTCCTTGTAATACTTGATCATTTATCTAGTAATGGAGAACGTGCCAATATTCTAATAATGGTGGAAATAGAAAATAGACAATAAAAAAATGATGACGTATTTCTTGTTTTTTTCTTAATGATGGTTTATTTTTTTTTAATTAAATAAAACAGTATTAGAGTGGGGTTGTGGTGGGAGGCATGACGTACTTACGATAAGTTCTACCTTTGTCTATTAGATGGCGCAGCAGTCTCTTACCTGGTTGTTCTTCCAAGCATTTTCGGGTGCACAAACGGTAGTGACCAGTAGCATTGGTAATCACCAGATAAATTCTGATTTGTTAAATCAACATTAAAATCACTCTCAGCCAATGATATTCCAGAGATTCTTACTTCTGGTTAGATTATATGTGCACGAAATACCCTACTATGTATTACCATTATTTTGTTATGGATGGGAAGTCGATTTTATGGTTATGTTATCAGAGAGATTGTATTTTGTAATTGATCTATTGATCATTCATATTTAAATATATAATAAAGACACTGTCTTGTTCTTTTTAAGTGGACATATCCTTTTCTGTGGTAGAAATAAGGAGAGGTTAGTAGCTATATATTATACAAAATATATTTATATAAATGAAACAAATAACAAAATTTTTCTAGAGTATGGTTTATAAATGTTGCTTAGTTTCTATCAGGAGCAATTTGCAAAACTTCATTTAAAAAATTTTCACACAAACCAACGGGAGCTTGGAGTGTTCCCGGAAAATCGCTACATTTCATAAATTGCTTTTT